TTAATTCATATAATTATTTTAAAAAAAACATTTAATAAAATTCAAATTCAAATTTCAACACCTTTAACATTTTCTTTTATCTTAAGCCTTAACTTAAAAAAAAAAAAAAAGTTTAATCACTTTTTGGTTTGCTTGCTTACACTAAATGGTAGATATTCCTTACTAAAGCATTTGCATTTGAATATTGAAATCTATAGAAAAAGAAAAGAAAAAAAAAAAAAGAAAAGGGAGAAAAGTGATGGGTGCAAATTCCATCCTTTCACCCAAATCAAAGCAAGTAATTAAATTCCACTAGAATTCACCATGATGTTTCTCCAAATTCACTTTTCAGCTGAACCATGTTTAGCCCAATCAACCCAAAACAAACAAGTGGTCTACTTCACATAAAAATGGGCTCAAATTAACCAAACAATGGGGGTTTTTGGGCCATGTAGCAGCAATTCGATCCAGCCAACTAAATCTTTAAACCTAATACCCCACTAACAAAATTGGGTCAAGTTGCTCTTTCATTTTGGAAGGAGAGGCCAGCTTGCCGTTTGCAAGCGTTCCAAAAAATATTGCATGGGTCATTAGAAATGACTAAATCTGATTGAATTAAAAAATATATAGATGAATTGATTCAAGGTCGAATTTGATCTAAATCGAAAAAAATCAAAGATTTTAATTAAAAAATTGAATTTAAAATAATTTAAATCAAAAATATTTTAAATTTAAATTAATTCAAATTAAAAATAATTTAAACTTATTACGGCTTGAATCTGAAATCAATTCAATTCAAAATCTATAAAATATAAATTTTTAATTTGAGAAGACTCAAATTATAATTATCTTGATATAAGAAATAGATTATATCTCAAACAGTTCAAAATTCTAAATTTGAAATATTCAATTTCATAATAATTCAAATTCAAAATGAACTTAAACCCATAGATAAAAAAATCGAACCAAATGTAGCAGATTACCACTTCTAGTAGTTAAAAAATTATTATATCTTGATCATTAAAAATATCATATAATTGAGTGAAATGGAAATACAAGTACAAATCTCATATTAGGGTTTTATCATTCTTTTCATTTATTAAACTAACATCGAAAAAAAAAATCACACCCTTCATCAAAATTGTCTCATTATCAATTGTTGATGAAACGAGCCAAACATTGAAGTGTGTATACATTATAAACCACAAACTCAACCAAGAGATTTTCTTCAAACTCCTTTTTATAAGGAAATTGAATTTGCTGGATTTGAATAGCTTATCAATATGCATGTGATTAAAGGTGAGAACCAAATTTGAAAAAATAAAAAATTGATTCAAACTCCTTCAAACATGCATGCGCGTTACTAAGAAAGCTATTTTTTTTTTTATTTATCACAGTAGAGTAAGTCATGCCAATAAATTCCAATAACAATTTTTGTATAACATTCAAGTGAAGAAACACAATCATACTCAAAAACATTCAATGCAAAATGAAGCAAAAAAAGCAAAAGTGAGTTTTTGTTAAGGGTTTGGGGCTTACTTTTTTTTTTTGTTTTTGTTTTACTTATGGGTTTATGCCATAGAGATGAAGGAGGAAATCTTCTATTATTTTTTTGTTTATTTCAATAGTTGCAAATGATGGAGATAATGGCAATGCACAAACATGAAAACATAAAAATACTAACAATTAATCGAACAACATGCAATCTGAAAATTCACGAAGTAACAAAAAATAATCTAACAAAATCCGAAAAAAGAAAAGCATTGTCCAAACATATCAGCTTACTACATGGCAATTGATTTCACTAAAGTCTAAACTACATTATCTTCAACACTATTAAATTATAATGGCAATTGTATGTTGCTAGCTATTACATGCTAACATCAATTGAAACTTCAATAGATCCAATTATTACATGAGTATAATTAGCTTCACTTTGCAACACTTTGCTCACTGATTGCAGCATCTGAGCATTCTACTAAACCATTGTCTAACTATAATGTGATATCATTCTCCTTTTTTTCTTTTCCTTATGGGCTTGAGCTTGATATCTATAACTATCTTTTGTTTTTTTAGAAAAATGTAGAGAACATGCTTTTGAAAAGATACAAAGAATAGAAGAAATAAAAAGTTATGAAAATTTTTTAATAAATAGGTTGATAAAAAATTTTAGAAAAAAATTTAGATGATGAAAATAAATATAATAGAAAAAGGATACCACTTGTTGGTGTTTTTTCCTATATATTGGTAAATACTTTCATTACAAGAGAAAAATATCAAATGAACTTAACTTCTGCCTTATCATTAGCATGGAACATCACTACCTTCGTGGCTCTATAGACAAGTGATACTCCAACAGCTCTGTTAACAATATGGTCTTACTAAGAGAGCCACCAAAATTCATTAAGCATGTTAAAAAGTTGAGTTTCCCAATGTTATTGTTCTGCTAAAAAATTAATTGTTCATTAATAATTGTTCATAACTAAAAAGACTTAAAACTTAAAATTTTTTTTGAATTTTTGCCTTTTCCTTTTACTCATTTTTTTCTTTAAAAATTATCAACATAGAAAACTAAAATCAGAAAAATTCATAACGCAAAAAAAAAAAAAGGAAAGAAAGTGCTATGAAAATACTTATTATTAGTTCAAAAATCCTAGAGTGCATAAATTTAAACATACTTTATTTTGAAAATATTTTAAAACGATTATAATTGAAAGAAATTTAATATATTTTCTTAATTTTTAATAACTAAAATAGAGCAATTAAGTTTAGGGTTTTAATGAGTTAGGGAAGAATCAGAAACTTACCACTGGAGCCTCTGGTGGCCATATTGGCAATGACGCGAGCCAGGCAGAGACAAAAACATTGAAATACCAACAATTAATCAAACAACATGCCTACAAATAAATACCCATAAAAAAAGTGAAAAAAATCCTAAGAAATCAAACACAAGAAGAAACTTACCTAATCAAAGAAAACAAACAAAATAACAAAAAAACTTAAAACTGTAAAAAAGAGGAAAAAAAAAAAGAGAAGAAGAGAAAATCATTAAAAAAAAACCTAGAAAAGAAAAGAAGAAATAGAAACAAAAGCTTAAAAATGACTTACATTGTTAAGCTAAGAAGAAAAAAAAAAACCCACCTCGAGAAAGACAAAAAAATGAGATTTTCCTCTACCCCCATTCTTTTTTCTATCTCTCTTTCTTTCACTTTCTTTTTGATTTGGGTTCTTTTTTTCACAAGACAAAAGCTTTCTCTCTTGATTTGGAGAAAATAAAAGCAAAAACTTATGGTAAAGACAAAAATTGCCATCTCATTCATTCAATACAAATAGGGGACGACTTTTATATATTAATATAGATCTTGATATATGAAATAGATTATATCTCAAACAGCTCAAATTTAAAATGATTTAAATTCAAAATATTCAATTTCATAATGATTCAAACTCGAAATGAACTTGAATCTGAAAATAAACAAACTGAACCAAATGTACCAAATTACCACCTCTAGTGGTGTAAAAAACTATTATGTCTTGATCATTGTTAATTTAGAAATGTCATATAATTGAGTGAAATGGAAATACAAGTACAAATCTTAGATTAAGGTTTTATCATTCTCTTCGTTTAATACACTAACGTAGAAAAAAAAAATCACATCCTTCATCAAAATTGTCTCATTATCAGTTGTTGATGAAACGAGCCAATCAAGGGCTTTCATCAAACTCCTTTTTACAGGGAAAACGAATTTGCTAGATTTGAATAGCTCATAGTTTGCATGTAATAGTGAGTTAGTTTCAAAAGAAATAAAATAATGGTCCAGAAATGAAAATTTTCAAATGGCCCTACCCCTCAATTATTTCAAACCTCGAATGCATGTGCAACAACATGTACATTCTTCGTCAATCACATATTCACCAGCTGGTAGAAATATATGTTATACATAGAATTTTCTCTCTCTCTTCTGGATTTCGGATTGATGTAGATGGAATGGAAACTTTTGGAAAAGAATGTCGAGGAAACCGTATAACCTAATGCATTTGGACAAAATAAGAGGAAGATGTTAAAGCAACATTAATCATTTTGAAAAGTGACTTATTATCTGCACAAATCACTAAAAACCTTTTTTTTTTTTGGAGGGATTAAGGCCAAATTTGGATTCAATATCAAATATATTAATTTTATTGACTTTTATCATTATACTTTTAATTTCACTGATTTTTTTTAAATAATACAATTAGAAAATTTCATGAAATATTTCACTAATGCAAATCGTAAATTTTTATTGATATCATTATACTTTTATTTAAAAATAAACAAAATTAAAAATATAATGATTAAATTCAGTGAAATTTAAGTGTAGTGATAAAATTCAATATTGTTCCGTATGAAAAGTTAGAAGCAAACTTGATCTTATGCCTTTGAAGAATTTCGATTGCTTGATGTTGGAGTATAAGGCATAAGAGAATGAGAAGTTCTACAAGGAGACATAAAAATATTAATTTGTTGTTCCTTCTAGTCATCGAAAGAACGAGAGCAGAAAACAATGAAAACACCTATTGAATATGAGGAAATAGCATGAACTTTCAATTTTGAGTGGTTAGATTGTTTATATTTCACAACAATGAGGGCAAATTAAAACTCATGAAAGTATCAAAATAGAGAAAATATTGTTGAGTTTAATTCAAGTGGAGGATGGATTGCATGCATGCAATCAAACAGGTGATGAATTTATTCTAAGTTTTTTTTTTTTTTGGTAAAATAAGGTTGGAATATGCAAATATAAAAATGAGTTGTAAGTGTTGAAATTTAATTTAAAATTTAAATTTATTGTGATATTATTTTAAAAGAATAATTATATGAATCAATTAAATTAAAATTTTAAATTTATTTTAGATTTATTTTTAATTACTTTATTCAGTAAGAAGAGTTGAACTTGGCTCCTTCCCAATATTATTTTCTCTTACAATAGAAAGACCAAAACTCATTAATAACATGAAAAGAAAAATTATCTAATACTTTGTTGGTGAAATTTTAAATTTTATTTTATAATTTAGACATCACGTTAAGAATTTTATCCACAATATATGAAAATAATAATTCATATAAAAAATAAATAACAAATTCATGGATATTTATTTTTAATTATACAACACAGATCATCATTCCACATAATCTAAGCATGATTTGCTGATGAGTTGACCCCATGACACATAGCGGATCCACGTTTCTTCCAAGTTTTGATTTGTACATCACTGATGAATCGATTGAGGTTTTCTTCAGATGATCCAACGGTTGATAATGCATTCTCTAACTTCTTTTTGACCTCCTTGATATTCTTCCTTAATTCATCACCTAATTTTCCACCCATCACACGGTGTATCTTCTCCGACACCTCATGCCGTTTGATTTGCTTATTATCAGAAAGATTAAGTCCAATTTTCCAATCATCAACCACTAGTTTTCTATTAGTGAATTGATCAGTCAACAGAGGGAAACAAATCATCGGTACGGTGCACCATACACTTTCTAGTATAGAATTCCACCCACAATGAGTTAAGAACCCACCAACCGCTGGATGTGAGATCACAGCAATTTGGCAGCACCATGAAACAATCATACCCGTCCCTTTTATATTTTCTTCAAATCCAACGGGTAAGAAATCAGTTTCATCAGAGCTCACAATGTCAGGGCGAAGCACCCAAATAAAACTCACCCCACTAAGCAAAAGCCCATGGGCTATTTCCACAATAGTACTTTTACTAACATGAGCATAGCTACCAAACGCCACATATAAAACTGACCCATGATGCTTTGTGTCGAGCCATTGGGTGCAATCAGACTCGGTCCACAAGCTCGTAGCCACAACGCTCTTGATGAACCCAGTTGGGAAAATGGGCCCAATTGCATAAGTTGGTTGCTTTTCATTCAAGGCTGAGACTGTTTCATGTTCAAGCTCTTGTACTGTGTTGCAAATAATGAAATCTGCTTTCCTTACGTCCTGGAATGCCTTGTTGATTATACGATGCGCCACCGTTGATATATCAGATGCTTGCAGATATGACATCAAATCCTTTGGTTCTATAGCTCGAACCCCAGGGATGTAATCGATTATATCATCACGATTATCTGAAAACAACGATAATCATCCAGTTAGAGTATCATATCAACCGTCGTGTGGCGTCTAGATAGAACAAAAAAAAAAAAAAAACAAGAAATGAGGTTGTTACGTACCAATAGAAGCGAAGTGACCATTATTTATAAGCAGGTCGAGGTGGTAGTAAAGAGTAAAGACCAAAGCTGGTTCAGTCCAGAAGGAAACATTAACTAGGTTATACTTGTTTGATATCATGGAGGACCAGACATAGAAAGTGTCGGCTATTAAACAAGTTGGAGGAGGGTTTGTTTCTATTGTGTTGGCCACGAGTTCATCTATGTGAGCCGACATGACATGTAAAACACCTTCAAAGAACTGGTCATGGTTGAGGGAACGATCGAACCGGAGTGGGAAACCATCACTGACTACTGTGTAACGAACGTCGAGACCTGATTTACGTGCCTCCGTGAAGATGTCATCGTTGGAAGTAGTGGAGTTGGGTTGGGATTTGGTTATCTGGTGGTGGATGGATTGAGTGTTGACGAAGGTGATGGTGAGGCCCTTTGTTGCAAGCTTCATGGCAAGATGAACAAAGGGGATCACATGGCCTTGAAGAGGGTAAGGAATCATGATAGCATGAGGCTTTTGGTGATTCTTCTCCATTTTCTCTTTGAGTGTTCGGTGTGAGAGAAAATACTGTCAGACAAACGAAATGATGGGGGTGGAATAATTGGAATGCCATAGCATATAAAGACAGGAGGGAACATAAATAGTAACAGATTTGATGAGGTTAGGTTAGTAACTACGGCATCAATTAATTCGAGAACACTCGTCGACTAACAAAATTGTAGATTGGTCTGAGAGACGACAAACAACAACTGGATCATGTTGTCGGTTTTGAAGTTAGTGCAGTGTTCATTAGCAATCAATGTTTCTGACAGATTTTTGTGATGTTTCACTGTCACAAGAGAAAACAAATATTAAAGGGTATAATTGACCGAGCAATAAAATTGATTTCAATTAAAAATAATAATGATGATGAAATTAACTATTGTGATGATAAATTAAATAATATAATGATAAAATTAAAATCAATAATAAGAAGTATATTTAAAAACAAACCATCATAATAAAAAAATATATTTAAAAACAGATGTAACAATGGTAATGAGTGATGACAAAATTGAAAATAATAATTGGCTACCTTACCAAAAATAAACTACGAAAAAATTAAGAAATAAATCAGTGTAAAAATTGAATGTATATTGAAAAATTACTTATTAAAAATTATACAAGAATCTTAGATTTATATACAACTAATTAGGAGTTAAACTAGGAAATTAAATCGTCATAAAAAACTAATCATATAATTGAGGGATTGTCTATCCTAATTTTAGGGATATAAATACTTAATTTTAGAGATACAAATATAAATATACAGATTACAGATTACAACCAGCTATAAATAAGTGTTTTCTCACACTCCTCTCAAGCAGGTGAATAGGTGTTTTTCATTCTCAACTTGAAAATAATTTCTTGAAATGTTGCACTGTTGAGACTTTAGTCAACACATCTGTAAGTTGATCCTTGGTTGATACATAAGGTGTACAAATCAACCCACTATCTAATTTTTCCTTTATGAAATGTCGGTCTACTTTAATATGTTTTGTTCTGTCATGTTGCACAGGATTGTGTGCGATACTTATTGCAGACTTGTTATCACAGTAGAGTCTCATTGGTCCATCCCACTTGATCTTCAAGTCTTCTAGGATAATCTTTAACTATAGTAGTTCATAAATTCCTTGAGCCATTGCTCTGAACTCTACTTCAGCACTTGATCTTGCCACCACATTCTGTTTTTTACTCCTCTAAGTCATAAGATTACTACCTAAAAAAGTGCAGTAACCCGAGGTGAATCTTTTATCAGTTACTGAACCTGCATAATCAATATCTGTATATACTTCTAGAACTAACCTTGAATTTCTTTTTAATAAAATACCTCTCTTAGGATTGGCCTTCAAATAGTGTAATATACAGTAGGCAGCCGTAGGTGCACTTCTTTAGGACTATGCATAAATTGACTTACCACACTCACAGCATATGCTATATCAGATCTAGTATGTGAGATATAAATGAGTCTTCTAACTAATCTTTGGTACACCTCTCTATTTATAGTAGCATCTTCATTAGCTTCTTCAATTTTATGATTATGATCTATAGGGGTATTTGCAAGTTTACATGCAAGCTTTTCAGTTTCTTCAGAAGATCTATCATATATTTCTATTGTGAGAAAAAAATATCATGCCGTGAGTGAGCTACTTCAATTCCTAGAAAGTACTTCAAACTCCTTAGCTCTTTTATCTCAAATTCTTTAGCCAAACACTGTTTTAGAGATTATTTCTTTTTCATCATCTCCAGTTATAATTATATCATCAACATACACCAATAGAACTGTGACTTTCCCTGAATTAGAGTGCTTGATAAAAAATGTGTGATCTCTTTGACTCTGTTTATATCCCATTGCTAGCATCACTTTGATAAATCTCTCGAACCAAGCTCTAGGAGACTGTTTAAGGTCATATAAAGTTTTTTTCAGCCTACATACTTTGTTTGCTTCTAGATAACCTTCAAATCTCGGTGGAACCTTCATATATATTTTTTCTTCCAAATTACCATGTAGAAAAGTATTCTTTTACATCAAATTGTTGAAGCTGCTAATTGTAATTTGTAGCCAATGATAACAAAATTCTAATTATATTCATCTTGGCAACTGGAGCAAAAATTTCCCGATAATCCACTCCATAAGTTTGAGTGTAGCTCTTAGCCACTAATCTGCTTTATACCTTTTAACAGTACCATCTACCTTATATTTTATAGTGAAAACCCATTTACACCCCACTGAGATAATGCCTCGGATGATGTAGTTGAAACAAAAATAGTATTTAGGCTCACAAAAATTTTTTGTAAGATGGTGAAAATTTTTCAAATGGCATAAAATTAGAGATTGAGTATAGTGGATGCTTGGTACATTCTCTGGTTTCTTTTTTAATGGCAATAGACAGATCATAATCACTAATTATAATTTTAGGAGATTCATGCTTATTTTGAGAAACAGAGTAAAAAATTATAGTTACCTCATTTCTAGAGTTAGGATCAGGTTCTTGGACTGGTACTGATTCAGGATTTGAAACTTTTCTTCTTAAGTACACCTGTAATTTCTTCATAGAATCAAGAATAATATTATCATTTGTCACATCTTTCATATTTGGAATGGGTACAGACTCAAATTCAGTGTTTGACTTGAGCTAAGCAGAAATAGGTTTCGACTTAGAAGAATTAATGGGTGTAAATATTGAAGAAGGGGGTAAATCAAGCAAAAAGAAGTCTTTATCCTTATCTTCCATGAATGAAGTCTCCCCTTGAAGATAAGATTGAGTAAAAAATAGTTTATTTTCTTCAAAAGTGACATTTACAGACACATAAAATTTTTTGGTAGGAGGATGATAGCACTTATATCATTTTTGAGTTGAATAATACCTCACAAAAATACACTTAATCGCTCTTGAATCCAACTTTCTCCTGTTATGACGTGAACATGAACAAATGATGTATAACCAAATATCCTAGATATGAGATTATTTGTGGTGTTGAGGTTGGGATAAAATTGTAAAAGTAGTTTCATAAAAGTTTTAAATCTCAAAACTCTTGAAGGTAACTTATTTATAATGTGTGTGACAATAAGAACAACCTCCCAATAGTAAGATTTAGGTACATTTGCTTGAAAAAAAAGCTCGAATTATGGCTCGTAAATGACTGTTTTTCCTCTCTGTCACTCTATTATGCTGTAGAGTATTAACACAAGATGACTTATAGATAATCCTCTCTTTTTGGAAATAGGTGGATAGACTCTGGTTGAAGTAGTCTCTTGCATTATCAGACCTAAATCTCTTGATTCTCACTCCAAATTGATTTTGGATCATGTTTTGAAAGCTTAAAAATATACTATTCACATCTGATTTGGATTTAGGTAAAAAACTCAAGAGATCCTGATACAATCATCTATGAATGAAACAAACCATCTCACACCAGAAATATTAAAAATTGTAGAGGGACCTCAAATGTCACTATGAATCAAATAAAAGGGAGTAGAACTTCTTTTGTTACTGATTGAAAAAGACACACGTCTATACTTTGCAAGTTCGCAAATATCACAATAAAAATCTTCGACATTTAATCCTTTGAACAAAGAATGAAACATGTTTCTCAAAGTTTCAAAAGAAGGATGTCTAAGACGAAAATGATAAAATCATATTTTGTTTTTATTGAAAGATTTTTCAGAAGGAAATGACAAAGGTAAACTATTATTGATATTACTTGTGTTATTTGATGTCTTAAGATAGTATGGTCCATCCTTCTCCTTAGTAAATCCAATCATCTTCCCTGAACTTTAGTCCTGAAATTCACAATAAGAGAGATAAAAAGTTACTTTGCAATTCATATCTCTGGTAAGTTTTTGTATAGATATCAGATTAGTAGATAATCCAGGAACATGAAAACATCTTTTAGAACAAACGAGAGATTAACTTGAACATCTCCTAATCCTGCCACTATAGTAAGTGAACTATCTGCAATAATAATTTTCTTATTACTAGGACACATGTTATATGTACTAAACTTTTGTGAGGAATGTGTCATATGGTCTGTGGCTCCTGAGTCAATGACCTAAGAACTAGTAATAAGCTTAGCCGAGACATTTAATCTATGAAAACCGGAAGCTTTACCTGAACTAGAAATCTTACCTAAAGAACATACCACAGTAAGCTTTTCAAGAATTTTCAATAAGTTTTTCAATCTTTTTCCTATCGAACTTTCTTGTTTCTGAGACATCTGTAATACTCCAGTGATTTTTTCAGTTGACATTTCCTTAAATTTGGTGGTAATGATATCTTTCTTTGAAAGTGTTCAGCAATGAAAGCCTAAACATGGATTCGACAATGAAACCTAAAATAGAAGTCAGTAATGAAGGTTGAAAATTTTGCTTCCCAAGAAAAGCTTAAAGCTCTGATACCATGTGAAAAAACTAAAAAATAAATCATTTGAAAACTTAATGTATATTGAAAAATTACTTATTAAAAATTATACAAGAATCTTAAATTTATATATAACTAATTACGGATTAAATTAAAAAAATTAAATCTTCTTAAAAAACTTATTATATAATTGAAAGATTGTCTATCTTAATTTTAAAGATACAAATATTTAATTTTAAAAATACAAATATAAATACACAAATTACAAGATTACAACCTACTATATATAAGTATTTTCTCACGCAAACGACTATCTTAAGATCAATTACTAGACCCTTCCCCTTTCGACGGAAAACCGAAAAAGACAACACACTTGAAAACCCCGACTCTACCTGCGATGAAATCCGACCGAAGCCTAAAAATTCACAGTCGTGTGATTCTATTCATTTCATTTTCAATTCATGCATCCAGTAATTAATAATTAACATTCACTTCATCATTAAATGCAAGTGAAAGACATCAAATCATAAAGGAATATTTGGTTTTTGTTTCTTTAGGTTGTTAAGAATTAAGATGGCTTTAATACAGCCTCACTGATATATGAATGCAAATTTTAAAAGCAGGAAAGCTGAATCTTCTCAAAAAAATCCATTCAATTAACACATATAGCAACTGAACAAAAACCAAGAACGTCAAATAAAATATATAGAACGGCTGATCTGGAGTCGTCTATTTGAGTTGCTTCGTTAATCGTCAGACTATAAACAAGTATACAAGAAAGATACAAACTGACAGAAGTCCGCCACCACAAGTGTAGGAAGTGAAGTGCTTTGTACAAGTTGACAAGGCTCGTTCATCAGAGAAATTCTCTAATAAAGCCAAAATTCTCCTGGCTCGCACCAGCCTGTCTCTTAACACTTTCAGGTCAGATAAACTTGTTAGTCAAGCCTCGAAAGTTCCCAAAAACATACCTTTTACTCTCAATTAGTGTCTTCACTAAAATCGAACTTGATTAAGATTTCAACCCTCACTGCCAATTTTAAAAGCTGAGGAGACAGCGTTCCGAGCTTCTACTGTTGATGTTGATTCTTTCTTGTCCGACCCGAAAAATGAGCAATTTTGAAAAGCATCCAGACTACTTGCTATTAGACGGTTTAAATCTCCAAGGCTGTCACCTAAAATTAAGTCTTCACTATGATACTTACAAGATGGTACATCAAGATCTAGTGGTCCTAAAGAGTCAGGCTGCAGTGTTGAGAACAAGAAAGATAGTCAGTTGTATAAAGAATTTATGACTTCACAAACCCTTACTAACAAAGCAAGCTAAGAGTTAAGCCTCAGAAAAACAACTACCCTGCTTTGAAGGTTAATGCAATGAAAGGCTTAGAAAAGCTAACATACCCAATAAATGTCAGTCAGCCCATTGAAAACCTTTTCCGTAGCATCCATGATGTGTGGATCAGATGGACACTCATCTGTGAAGTCTTCACAAGCAGAATTTTCCATTGGCTCCTCTGGATCAGGTGACGCCTGTGAGAGCAGCCAAAAAGACATCTTGCCTGGTTTCAGTTAACCATTCCTCAGACTAGACAATCAAATTGCCTGAATGGAAGTAAGACATACCTTAGTAGGAGTGCTTGATCCCACTGAGTTTGGTCTTGCAATCTGTTTGCAGGCTGCTTGGGAAGTAACACTGGAGAATCTGCAAATGTCTGCACAGGGAATGGGATTCTTTGGAAATGAGAAGGCATCACATGTTTCTTCAGCATCCCAGATAGAAGATACATGGAATGCCAATGATGGAATTTCCATCTTGTTTTGATGTCTAGATATATGAGCAGCAATAGCTGCGTCAAATGAATCACAGCTAAATGGAATCTGCTGTAGACATTGCAAGCTGTCTGCAACAGGGCGGTCAACACAGTTACCATCCAAGTCCTGAGGCACTTCTGCAAGAAGATCTCCAACACTTATGTTTGTGAGACTGTCAGCCCATTCTCCAGCAGATAATGCAGCAGTATTATTGTTCAATCTCTGATCATCCTAAGCAAACAAAAGAAATTATAATGTCAGAAATGTATAGGGAATCAATACAAAGACTATTCATGACTAACAGATCTTGGATGTCAAATGTCGCCACTGCTATTTGTTAAAGAAATTTAGTAAACCAAGTAAGTCCCAATGGGCAGTAAAAATAAAAGTTAAATTGTTTGAAATCTGGCATGTTGGTTGAACAAGGAAGCCCCGGCAACAACTGCAAGGATAATGTGCAAGTGTCCAGGTCATAGGTAAAGAGATTTACATGGATCCTCTGATGCTAATAGCAGAATTCAGAAGAGATGATCTCTTGATCTAGCAGATGACTAGTCAGTCATTTGCAGCAGGCAATTTTGTGAAGCTCAAGATAATGAATAAAATTGATAGATAAGTTTAAATTAAGGCTACCAGACTTAGATAATAAGCACAAAAGGCACAGCTTTGGGATAGAACAAGTTGGAAAGTCTTCATAACTGCCAGCTGAAACTCTCAAACAGATTTAAAATCTTTGAGAAAGGGATGGACACTTACTGCATCTTCCAACCGTCTCATAATAGGAACATTGCAAGTCTCACTTCTATCTGATGATGCATTTCTTGCAGGAATAGGAGAATCCCCAAGATTATCTTCAAGACCAGTGGTAAGGTATGTGCTCATGTCATTGGGAAAACCGGTTAAAGGAGGTTCAAGGGCATTATTTTCTTTCTGTAATATTGGCTGATTCTTGCAAGGATCATCAAGTTTCTTAGACAGATCACTGGTAGATGAGACAGATACTCGTACTTCTTCCACAACACAGCATTTCCTATTTTCAACGTTCATATTATGCACACTTGGAAGGTAGGATGAAGAAACAGGTGCTTGCCACGTCAAAGATGCAACTTCAGTATCAGAAAACCAACCATACCTTCAAAAAGAGCTTATAAATCAGCAATTGTCCATACAAATCTAACACAGAAGATAGCAATGAGGCCAAAACGATATCGGAAAGTACCTTAGGCGAAATAGTGGGGGCCTTCCAATTGTTGCATATACATCTGCTGCACTGACAATGGACGCTTGAGTCCAGCTCTGATAACCCCTAAGGTTTTCTCTTTGAACACAATAAGGGAAAAGCATAAGCTCTCCTGATGCTACACTTGAGTTGCCCCATTTTCGATTCAGATGCTCCAATACTGATGATATCTTCTTCCGAATACTAAGAGTGAGTTCCAAGTGTGGATTGTGTTTATCCTGACAAGAGATGAAGACCAATTATTTCCTTAACGATGCCCAACTGGTAAAACTTGATGCTACATCAAAATCATCAACATAATTTCCTTTTGGTGCTCACCATTTCCAAGGCTCTTCTAGTAATGTCATCAATTGGAAAGAGTTGGAGCTTAAGTTTCCCAGCAGCATGTATGTTGCTCTCAGCAAAAGGATTTTGAGAGAAAGTAGGCAAGGGAAGTTGATTATTTTCAACTGGGTGAAGAATTTTATGCCCTGGGACTGGAGCAAAAAAAATTGGAGTTGAGAAATTTTCTTATGTTCATGGTAATTTCAATTCCTTTCAAGGAAATAATTGACAAATTAATTAAGTTCAAGGCCACCTGGTGTATCTTGTCCATGCTCAATTTCTTTATCATTAATCGTTCTCTCCAAATGCTCAGCAGCATCAGCGACCAAAGAAACCCCAGCAATTGCAGCCTGTTCCCATTTTTTATACGCAGCTGATAAGGCACCTGCCAAGCATTGTATAGCAATACAAGTTTACCATAATTTTGAATGGCAAACAAGAACAGTAAATTGTGGGAATGCACATACCATGCCTTAAAACATTAAGTATTAATAACACAAAGCAAGAACAATAAGAAACCGTAAGATGAAGGTTGCTATTAGAAATAAACATCAGCCATGACATCAACAACAATGTTTAGTACAATGCTCAGCATATATAACATCACAGCAGCAATACATAAAAGTAAATACAAAAGTGTAAAACCTTATCGAGCCAAAAGAATCTGGAGATATGGTTTATTTAATTTAATTATTTATTTGGGGGAGTAAAGTACCTGGTTTCCGTCGTTGCCTTGCAGGTTTCATGGTATTCGGCTCGCCTTTGCCATTGCTACGATTGATACCCACATTGCTATTACGCTTGAATGAACTTTTTCCAGGTCCTAATTTTTGAATGTTTTGACTGTCTACAAGAACCAGTTTGACTGTACGAGCATCATGTCCAGAAGCCCTACTCTGATTTGTGACATTATTGGGAGATGTAGGTGAACTATTCTCCCCCTGAGAGGTTCGTTTTCTTACATTCTTCTTCCGGTCTTTCAAGAGTTGGTGCTCCTTCATAGGTAAAACATATCAGTCAGTCCAGCACAAGCATAAAATGTCATGTTCAATGGAAAGACAAGCAAACAAGTAATATACAAGATTCTTTTGACTAACCAAAGCTTCAACAAAAATTTTAAATCTTCGAGGTTTTAGATGAAGTTTTGAGGCTCTGCAGCTATACTTTTCCAATAGAGACCACCTGTTAAAGAAGACATGCAATTTTGAATAAAAACAAAAATATAATAGGTCAAGTCTCTGTTAATGTATGATACCATAAAAAATCCTTCAATAAGATTCTAACTTTCATGCTTAACAATGAGCACATAAAGGTCATGTTTGTGCCATATGCCTTCAAATGGGCATTTATTGAAGATTCATCATGGTTATACACCTAATATGTTCAAAGGACATCAACGACTTGCTGGCAGGCAACTTTTTTCCTTTGAAGGGAACCATCTCTGCCAAATAAATCTTCTCTAAATAGATATAATGATGCCTCTGGGTTGTCTTAAAACTTATATTAGTTACCAGTGCTGTAATAATGCATCCTCCATAGAATATAATTGAATTTATATAAATAAGTTTCAATAAAAAGGTAATTAGTTCTCAGCATTACCAGCGAAGCATTGCTGCATTAGTATCTTTAGAGTTTTTGGCATCCAAACATAATCCCGGACCCAGAAGCTTGTTCATCCGCCTCACAAGACGATAGTAATAATGTCTCACCTACAAATTTCAAAAAGAAGGACAAATCAAACATTGACGAGGGACTGTAGTCCGACTTATATTGATAATGAAACAATCAGAACAAGATCTAGTAGACACCTGATCCTTGTTTTTACTTTGCACACGACATGTGATCTTCTCAAAATTCTGCAAGTAATGCATGTGTCAGGAGATATTAAATAGGAAAAAAAGTAAAAGCCATAACACTTGTAAGATTGACTTGCCTTCCCAACTTGTCGTAATGCAGTGAAGAAACTCTCTTCCTCTTGACGTGTCCAGGCAGCCCATTGTCGAGTTGGTTTTTTGGCTGCATTAGGCATTCAATTCATACATTCATACAAAAATTAAATGCACAATCAGTATTTTCCATAGATGAAGATGGTGCATGGACTGAAACACTGAAAATTATTATAAGGAGAAGTACAAGTGCATTCACATACCAGGTTGCTCTGGCACAATATTATTTGAGGTGGATAGCGCTACACTGGGATCTCCTACCTGAATAGGAATATTTTCTTGATTATGTTGTGCCTCAGAGGCTAAGGAGACCTGTGACTCTGTCTGCATGTTGATGGCATCACATGAAAACTATTGCTTCATCCTCTTCAAATTTGTATAAAATCAAGTAGCCCTATTGATCACAAGGAAAATAAGTTTAATATCATATAGAAAACTGGAAAAGGCAAAGAATAAAGGAACACAAGCCAATATATAACCATAATAAACAAGCTGAAAGCACATGTGAAAGTACACTTATGCATGCCCCTTCCTCAAGAAAATAGTGAAAATTAGATGTTTCCCCTCTTTGACTCTCAACAAATACAAGAGATTTTTATTGAAAGATAGGATCATGAATTTGGTGGCCAAACTGCACAGAGCCTATCAACAACAATATAGCTTATGGTTTTCACAAGATCGGCTTCCTATCGTCTCCTATTGTGCTGCAAATCTTCAAATCAATCAAAGCATTAAACAAAGTCGTCCTTTTTGGTGAAGGGTAAAACAACTTTATATACTAGTGGAGTGAAGCTGTAATCCAAGAATCATATTTGAAGACCTAACACTGCCTCCTCTTAGGATCAGAAACTTGTTTCTATGGTTAGAAACAAGAACTCCAAGCATGCAAATAAGTTAACACTCAGCAACCATGGTATCCTCCGAGGTGACTACCACAATCAATGGGTTTAATATATAAAGCAAATGATTATTCATCTTTTCTTGTTCATTGATTTCTTATTTCAATTTCACTTCTTCAGCAAAACAATATAAATTTGTATTTAACAACAACTAAATTGAACAATGCATTAGAATTCATCACACAATCAATCTTCATATTAAAAGAAATTAACAATGACTTACCAAACAAAACAATCTTCTTAACCATACATTATTTATCCTGATAACATTTGAATTTCCTTACACAAATAAACCCTAAAACCAACAAATTCGATCTCCAAATACATCTGTTGATAATCGAATTCAACTAAAATGATCAAGCAATACGGCTTTAAAAATATGCAGATTTTAAACAGAAGGGGAAAAAAACTCTTTCCAGTTGCTAAGAATTGCGAGAAACCTAAAAGCAACAAATTTCGAGCTTAATTTGTTTCAAGTTCATGAGATCCCATAGGGCGAAAAAAAAAATCTGAAGTCAACTGTACGACTAATTGACCAATTTGAATTCCACTTTTCCACATCAAAATAAATAGAACAGAAAAGAAAAACACATAAGACAATACAATAATTTAAATTTTCTCGACTGCCAAACAAAAGCTAGGGTTTCGAACTACAGTAAAAGTTGATCGGCAAAAAATTAATAATATGAAAAAAAAAAAAAACTAAAGAAAATAATGAAGTTAGTCTAAAAATACCTGAAATAGAAAAAGGGATTTGGAGGAACCGAAGGAGCTCAGATTTTGAACAAAGAAGAAAAGCTATTGAAACCGGAAGAATCTTCCGACAGACGTCTACGGTTAGGAAGATAGGGAAAAAAAATAGAACGAATTTTTCTTTAATTTTTTTCTTTTTACTTTGAAGAAAAGGAAAAAATGTTTATTTGGTAATTTCAAAGATAAAGAGTAAAAAAATAAATAAAAGAATTTGGGTATTGGGTTTATCAAAAAGCAAAATTTAATTTGGTACCTTATAAAAGTTAAAATGGACCGTCGGCCGAGAACAAAATAAAAATAAGTGGACTTACCAAATTTTTTCTATTTTTATCATGTTGACGTAAGTAAGAAGCTAAATGTCGAATATTTCTCCTTTTTTTTTTTCTCTTATTTTATTGAAAATCCTACTCATCATAATTTATATATAGTTAAGATATAGGATGCATGATCCCTCCAAAAGCAAATAAAATTAAGATATAATTTAATTTATTCATATAATTTTAAAAAATATATATTTAATAAATTTGAAATTTAATTTTTTTATTATATGTGATTTTTTTGAAAAATTAGATGAATTATTTATTTTTATAGGTAAAAAAATAAAAAATTGAAATTCATTTCATTAAATTAAAGCAAAATTTAATCATCTACAAATGAATTAATATTTTTAACACTTCAAATTGTCAAAATTTAAATTTTTATCACTTATTATAAAAGATTTTTACATTTGACCATTAATTCTAAGACTTTCTTAATTGGAATTATTCTTTTCTTTCTCTTGTAACTTTTTTTTTTTTTTTTTCTATTAGTTGACATGTCAAAATTATTAAACCCAAAACATGGTTGATAAATATTAGAAGGCACATCAATACTTAAAATTAAAAACAAGGACCACAAATAAAAGATGGGGATTATTATTGAGTGTAAACAAATGTACCAAGTTGCATGTGAGCATCCAAGAGAGATGCTTTTATCAATTACCAAGTTCAATTTCCTTAACTAAAATCTAAAACATGTTTTGAATACCCCAATCAGGTGAATTATGCTGCTACCTTCTGACTGAGGGCTCTAATGATGAACACTCTTTTGCTTTTGACTAGAACTAGAATGTGTCACCACAGTAATCCAAGGAAGAAAAAAGGTTCTTTCGTTTGGTCACAATCCGAGGAAAAAAGTTGATCAAATCATCATGTCACAAGGGGAGGAACAGATGCCTTATGTTACATTTTCAGAAAGGGGTATGAAAATGAAACATCACAACGAAAAGGAAATATGAACTTTTACTTCAAAATGGAGAAGTATTCATGAGTTCTTTACTGCTGTTTCTCTTTCTAAAAAGCTGCTAACTTTTGCCTCATATGGACTCTGTCAAGGTAGTAACCATAGGCCTGATGCTGCTGAGTGCTTAACATCTGAGTTCAATTCCCTGCTTTGGCAGGGTTGCTTCTCAAGCACTTCCTCTATATTGCAGTTGCTTCCAATGTCTGGCAAAACAATTTTTAGGGAAGTTGTAGCATGTACCTGCATGCTCATCAGATCCAGGCAAATTACTCCTGCATAATTAATAACTTGATAAAACGCAACCATGAAACTAGGTGAATTAATAGCATTATCCTTCTCTACAAAGGCATAACACAATTGAATTAGCAACAAAACAAAGCATGGCTAAACTTACCTCCAAGAAAGGGTAGACCGTGGCTGCACCGGCATCCAGTTTCTCTACAGATAGTTTTCAAGTAGTACGTGGATATCCCAGCTATGGCCAAAAAACCAGCAAATGCCAACAGCTTATTCAAGAGCCAGTTGATTTGGAAAGCATTAATCTGTACATAGGAGCTCCTCGATCTATAACATGTTGCTCCCAGTCTGAATGAATTCCAAATGGGTTCTCCTCAAGCCATGTATTTCCATTGATTTTTACACCGCAATGATCATGCAAAAGACAAAGTTTACCCTTTCCATATTTCAAAAACTGTTCTTTCATTCTTATAGCAACTGGTTCTACATCAGATTGCAGAAAGACCTGAGAATAAAAAAGCCAATAAACCTATATGAATCATCCTTGCCTTACTTAAAACTGAGAATGGCCTTCCGTTAGTTGCATTTCTCGTTGTTTGATAATAGAGTACCAATCACTGCAGTTTCAGATGTTTCATTCACCAAGAAATAAGATATAAATATTATCGCTGATGTGGTAAACTGCAATTGCCTAAAGAACACAAGGAAAACACATCCACTTTGAGGAAACAGAATGAGCCACATTTGCAGATAGGATTTGTTCTTGTTGCAGTTGCCAATTTCATCTTGTTCAATAATGTTATGATTTAATCTTGTTGAAGGTGCCAATTTCATCATAGAAATGAAGAAACATTAGAACTTGTGAGACATGTGATGAAACCCCAAGAGTTCATGTGTTACAACAACAAAATTGTGTTACCTTTCCCTTAGAAGCAAGAAGATCTGCCACTGCTTCAATTAATGACCTTTGCAGCATGCTCCACCTATGTTCCGGTTTGTTAAAATCTGGGTTTGGGCACTACATGGCAAAAGTAATCATGCTTAAATACTATACATTACCATAAAGAAGGGAAGGAAGCTTACTCCACATTGCTGTAAAGAAGAGAATATCATAACTTGAACCGAGTGAACATTATTGTCTACCTGTACTGAAACAAGAACCAATTCTCCTGGGTAACCAGAAACAATGGAACGGAATGTGGATGTCGCATTTGTTTCCACAAAGTACCTAACACAGATGACAGAAGCAACATGGTGATGATATTGAAGTCTTGTTAAAAATGATAAATAATTCAGTTAGTCTTACATCTTTTTCGTACTAATTGCAACTTGCAAGAACCCTTACCCATTCGTTATGCCAGATTGATGAACAGAATCCAAACAACGTCGTACAAGCTGAAAAATATTTTAAACATTTGAAAAGTTTAGTAATAAATTTAAGACAAACCACCAGAGAGGTGAAATAATAATCTCCAAACCAAGAAAATAATAAGACAGACCTTTCCATTAATCTCCAAACCAAGAAAATTCAGATCCTTCCTATTTCTTGCCATTCCCATGATAAAGAGGCCATTACCTGCCCTTGACAGCCCAGATGCATCAATCAATTATAAAAAGGAAAAGAAGGTTCAAAAACACAATCATTCAACTAAAAGAGCCATTTGACTTCATATTGTGTAAAATAGTAAATAAATATAGATTGGTTGATTTCTTTCTGGCCCCTCAGAAAAGCATTATCTGATTTTGTTTTTCTTTTGGGACTATAATAGGAACAAATTGTTAAGGAAACTGTAGGAAACTGAAAGGAGAAGTACCACTTCCAATATCAACGAGTAAAGGATGGGATGGATCACGATAAACAACATTCCAGTCAATTTCAAATGGATATGCCTGCACAGAGCATCCATTTTAAGCAGAAATCCAGAAATTTGTAACTCGTATTTAATATTTGAATTCTGAAACTAGAATCAGTAAGCCCAATCCCTTAGCTCTTTTATGCAAGATCAAATAATGCATCTGCATTGATGCTACCTTTAGTATTTTATTATCCATGTCAAGCACATTTATCTATGGCTCTTTGTGTGAAAACTATAAGCATTACCTTCGGACAAGATGCAAAAATCTTAAAAAATGTTCTTTACATAACCATATGGCAAATGGAGTAAAAGATGAACATAGATGAAGTTGACATACTCTATCTAAGGCCATAACCCCAGGCAGCTTTTGTCCTTTGAGAAACTCCCATACAGCTGAAGCATTCTCTAGCATGTTAAAACAAGATACAGAGCTTGATTCATTTTTGATAACTTCACATGCTGTACTCCCAACAATAGTTATCTCACATTCACATAGACTCTGTTTGTAAAGCATCTGAGCCAATTTAGAAGCTCCACCTGTATATGGGCTGGAGGACCTGAATTTCACTGGACCAATCCATATAATTTTCTGTAAATATTGAGCAATACATCAGGTAAGTCAGACCATGATAATCACCAGAAACAGTATTGAGATTATTGAAACTGTTGCTACAAAGAAAGTCCTAAGGACAAATATGATACAGCCATATAAAATATAGATTTTTTTCAGAGTAATAGGCATTGATAATTTCTTCATACATGATCATTTTACTTATAAATGTTAAATCAATTAAACAAGAATTTTAATGGTTAATATAGCAATAATCACCAAAGAAATTAACATCAAATTAAGGTTGTCAAATATACCATTCATCATGCTTTGGAGCTCATAATCAGGACTATAAAGTGATTGATTTGTCTAAAAGATCATATAGCATATCTAACTAGGTAAAGCCAAATTGCACCAATGTGTCCCAAAATTTCCAAGTAATGAAAGACTTAAGTGTGGAATACTGAAAATCAATGATTTTTTTGCCAATATGCTCATCAAATAGATCCTCAAATTACTAATCCAAGTAATGAAAGACTTAAGTGTGGAATACTAAAAATCAATTATTTTTTTGGCAATATGCTCATCAAGTAGACCCTCAAATTACTAACACTGGTACACAGCATTTCCAATGAAGGACAACCTTCGTTCAACCTAAGAGGAACAGGTATTTGTCATATTACTATGATATCCATGTCCACTTTACCTTGGAGTTTGTTACCAGAGAGTTTATTTCGTCCAACGACCTAGGTCCAAGATCAACAGGTAGCCAACCTAAACAGAAAATTTTGGTATGAGTACTTTAAAAGAGAGAGATTATTATCATTAAAGAATTTTTATTATAAAATTAGACATTTAAACAGAAAAAAACTTAATATCCTATATCTACTTTGCAACAATCAAATATACTGATTGGCCAATTAACACAAAAACTTCAGCAAAAACTTTAAGGAACATCTTCATTTCCAATGCAAACATGGAAGAGATGAAGGAGAAATGGTTCAAAATTATGGTCATTACATCATAAGGCTACCCCAATGCTGAATCTCTAACTGTACCCAGCTAATGTATTGGTGCATAATTTCAAAATTCTGGCAAAGTATGTATTTAGATACACAGCACAAAGATGATGTTTTCAAAAAAGGACAAAAAAGAATTAAAAGATTCATAGTTTATCTTGAAAAGAGCACCAAAAAATGAGAAAAGAAAAAAACAATGTAAGTCATAATTGAACGCAATCTTACCATATGAAACTCCATAAGCAGGAAAAACTTCCAATTGCTGAGGAAGATGTTGATTCATGCACCAAAAATCTTTTGGATATGACATCAGCACATTTTTATCATGTGCAAACCGGACAATGTCTAAAGCTGCTTTATGTGCATCACGTTCCACCAGGTTAGTTGGAACCGAGTGTCCTAAAGCACGTATTATCTGAAAGGACATTAGGCCAACGAAGACCAATGCATCACATCTAGATGCTAAAAATTGTAAAGCAGCTGCCTTGTCTTTGAGATTGCCACCTCCAATCTGCATTAAGTGACAGTAAGTTACTGACAAGTGAAGAACAGATGTCCAGAAATAATTGTCCCAGAATGACTAGAAAGAAAGCCCATACAATTGCAACATATGGTTTCTTGTTAGTTTTTGCAAACTTCTTTAGCTGATGAAGGCTTTCCTCAAAGGAAAAACCAGCCATAGAGGCATAGCAAAAACAAGCAACACCAACTGTTGATGCAAGAATTTTATGAGACTGGCAAAACGAGTCATTAACAAAAATATCAACTTCTGATGATAAAAGTTCAGCAAACTTTGAACAGTTGGCAACTTCTTCCTTATATTGAGAAAGATTCTCCAGAAGAAGGATGTCTGCTTTCTGCAGGTCTTCCCTCTTCAATGGTATGTTGCAAGAAATACATCTTAAAGCAACAACTTTGAGCTGGAGAACTGATGACAAGATATCTGAAATGTAGAGACAAGAATACATTAACTACAAAGCAACTCCTCAAACTAATGGTTTTAAGACTGAAAGAAGATTGAATCAAGCCTCATTATTCAGTATCTGTATGACTCAGTCTCCTTTATTTATAGTATACATGACTTTTAGACAAGGTTAATGAAGTCTTGTGCTTTCATGTCCACATGACTCCTTCACCATGCCAATATTCCCAGTGTTAAAATAGAAACTACAGGTTGTAACCGCCAGGGGGAGAAACTTCTAGTCCTTACCAATTAAAGCTTCTTACTGAAAACAAAAATCATAAAGAGCTCAAAACAAACGAAGGAATGGCTTAAAATACCTGCAACAGCTTCTACAGCAAGATGTTTGGGATTGATTTTCGTATTCCATTCACTCATGAGAATGACTTTGGCCCCAGATTCATGTAAATACTTAATGGTGTAAAGTGCTTTTGAAGCAGATTGAAAACTCCAATCCAGTTTTTCGCCAAGCAAAATGGTAGAATCAAATCTCACCATAACAACTTTTCCAACAAGCTCCTCCCTAGGAAATTCTCTGAGAGTTTGTACATGTGGCAAGGCCACCAATTCTACTCCATCAAAGAGACAAGTCTGGGTAAAAATTGGGAGAAAACATTTAAATCACAGTCAACCTACTAACAGAAAATGTTTTTCACCAACTTAATGATTTAATCATATCAAGCCAATTTAGTAAAAGGTCATAAATGTAGCTATGATAACTGGCCATATGATGCTAGAATCAATTCACTGAACCTACATTCTTGATCAAAATGTTTTTTATTTTTCTTTTAAGCATTTATATGTCAAGTTGTCAATGCTCCGTAGGGCATTAAGAAATTATCCAGATGATCAAAGATTCGAAAGACATTTTCAGGCTTCTTTGAATTATCATCCTATTCAACACAGGGCTAATAATGCATTAGCTAACAATGTTTTTAACTTCAAAATATGCTAAAATTGATTGTTAATAACTACCGATGCTCATCCCTAATTGTGTAATTCCAAGAAAAAAATTATCTCAAAAGAAGGTCAGATATTAAGGTACCTTTTCCTTATGAGAACTTTTAACATGAGCTAAAACCTCCAGACCACCTGCCGAAAAAGCAACTTTGAGAAAACAATAGGAGGAAAAAAAAAAAAAAAGAACAATCTTGAGCCATTAGTCTCAAAATTCAAACCTTGGAAAGATAATTGAATATTCTTTATGGGAAAAAACGCATGACCCATGTTGAAGCAACTTCCTTTCTTTCCTAGGATGATTGTGGAAACTTAATTTGTTTAATGAAAGAGCTCCCTGGAGTGTATTCAAAACTTGACTCATTCCTCTCTGCCTGATGAACAAGAAAAAGAGTTAAAACATTGAATAAAAAAAACATAGCTAAAAATAAAGTAAAAAAATAATGCAATAATTCCAAAAAAATACAATTTTTTTTTGAGCAGCCAAAAAACCTAAAATTAAATTCAAGGAACAACAACAGCTCTCCAGAGCAAATTCAGGACTAAAGTTTCGTCCTATGCTTACTGTATTTTCTTAGCAACCATAGATAAGAGGAGGAGGAGCCAATGAAACGCTGCTTTTTGGAAAGAAATAAAATAAACATTTTTTCCAAGAAGACAATGTAAAACATAAATTATACGACGCCGTTTCTATCAGAATCGAGATTTTTTTTTAACCGGTTCCTTTTTCTAGTGTAGTCACAAGAAAAGAAAATTTGTGCTTTTTCTTGGCAGTTGGGTTCTGATTTGTGAATCGACCGAGGAAAAACCGATCGTAAACGATGGGATTAGGCTTCATGATCGGCGTCTTTGGAGTTCTAATCCTCTCCCACGCTGCTTATTCGACGATTCAGTGTAAAATCTCCAGAACTTTCTTTTCCTTTCTGATTTGATTTGATCGGTAAAGGTTTAAACTTTCTTTTTTTGATTGGTTTTTCCAGATAGGGGGTTGTTGAAGATTATGGAGGAGGAGTTTTCAGGTCCACCCATGAATGTAAGTCTGAATTTTTTTCAATGGATTTGATTTTGTTGATAAATTTTTCTTTTTTTTTAAATGCAAAATCTGAAGTAAAGAAAGGAAAAGTGCAGGTGGTTTTAGAGTTGCTTCTAGGGTTTTTTTTCTGTATTTGGGCTGCCCTAACCGTGCCTGGGAATTTTCTGTCGATACATCCTGAATCCGAGGAGAATAGGTATGTGTTTTATAAAGATGAAATTTTGGTTAATGTGGAATTCAATGGCTCAGTTTTTGCATTTGGGGTCAGATTAGATTATCTGAAGTTGATGCTGTTTTTCATTCATACAAGTTTGGCGGAAAGAAGGCATACCTTGGAGAAGGATAGTGTTGGGTACTAATGAATTTGTGGTGAACTAAAAGGAAGGGGAATTTTACTTACTAGTTTTGCAGTGCAAATCATCTGTATTGAGAGTGAGAGAGAGAGAGAGAGAGAGAGAGAGAGAGTGTGTGAGTGGCAAATTAAACTGAAAATGCTATTGATGTCTTAGGAATCGTGATTATGCTCTGACTGTCTTTGGCATCGTGTTTAGTTGAAACAGGCTACTTGTTCTGCCCTTCATATGATGGTGTGATAGTATTTCATAAATTACCTTTATCAATCTTCAGTGTGTGATCTAACGTTTGTACCTTGTGAAATTGAGTTGAATGTTCGTTGGTAATCATAGGCTTGCATCTTACCAATTTCACATGGACAGATATGTGCCATAGAAGGCCTTAATGTGTTTGATCTTTGATTATTCTCCCTTGAAGAAATTTCACTCAACTCTCGCTAGGAAATCCACAATCAGCTATATCTTCCGAACAAGAAACTCCCTGAGAATATGGCCAAATTGGCTTTCACTAATCATTCTATTTAATTACTGTAAGCTTCTATGCTAATGGAACAAAGAGTATGGTGCTTATTGGCCTTTTTAATAGGCAGAGAATATAGCTGCTCTTATGAACCTCTCAGCCTCATGCATAATTTTACTTAACTCTCTAATGTTTTATGTTTTTTTTTTTTATTATTTTACTGTGCTGTAAATGGACAAGGAAACCTAAAATAAACTCCTGACTGACTGATCATTCTTTTCAATGTTGGTGGCTCTTCCATAATTATGCTTCCTAGAAGTGTGCTAATGAAACTTAGCGTCTGTCATCCTTAACTCACATTGAGTTTGTTGGAAAGTGAAAAATGTAGAATGACTACTATTATTCCTGCTCGCTTTATCCTTCATAGAAAAATTATGTGGGTCACTGACGTCAAGATGTATAATATTGAATGCAGGATTGTCTCTTTATCAGCAAACTTGGACTTCATGATCTTCAATCACAGAGCCAAAGTATTTCCTTTAGAAATTGATATGAAGCTGAAGCATTAAGATTGAAGAAGCTTCATGGTGCTTTAATTTAGGAGAGTGCTGTTGTTGGCGAGTCTGTTAAATTTTAGAGTGGAGGGCCTGGTGCCAGGTGTACTGTCTCTCATAGTAGATCTTTTCCAAACTGGTAGTGATTTTCACTCACTAGACTTCTTGTGTTGGCATTTTTGTCTGCTTTTATGTTATTTTGCCTGACTTACTGAACCTTAGCGTCAGCTCGAATCTGATCCATTGTTTCTAGCAGGCCAGCAATTTTAAACATTATTTTTCTCTTCATTTTCTTTTATCTGTAATTCTAACCTGTGTGATGTTTTGGTATGGAGCAAGTATTTTAAATTTCCAATTATACCCAAGTGTTAAGTTAAAAGCTGCCTCTAGGAAGTACGAATCAATAATCTTAAGTAATCTTACATATCAAATATTGACTGAAGAAGGGAAGGTTCCTCTGACTTCAAGCAACTGCACATACTATCAACGGCTGAACTAGAAAGTTGCGGGCATTTTCTTACCAAAATTTGCATGAAGAAGCTATATATTTTGAGTACTGATGGAAAAATGCACTTGAAAGTAGGGAAAAACCAAAAAAGAGAAGGCCTATGGCAAGTTTATCAGAGGCAGTTTTGATCCAAAAACTCTTCATAGATTCTATTTTCATTCTTGGTCTTGTCGAGGCTAAAATGCTTTCCTGACAAGTGATCTCCACACCAAAGCTCATGAGACGAAGTAAAAAGAGACTGATATAAGAGACAGTTGTTTGGTTGGATATTTTCCATTCGTAAATTGAACAACCAGGGGTAAAACTGTACAACAGAAACTTTGCCAGATGCATGTACCGTCATGCAGATTTGCGGTATAATCCAACATTATGAATCAGTACGAAAATTTTCCTCCACAATCCAATTTTCGACAGCTCCCATATTTAGTCTTTTTCCCCTTTACCGCCACACTTTATGTTGTCTGGATGCAATAAGAATACTAAACAAACTGACGTGGCAATTTTTACAACAGCAATTGGTAGACTCGTCAAAAAAAGATGCAAGTGCGAAACATACAATCTGATGCAATAATAAAGTTTTGGATTGACCAGTGGCGCTCGAGAGTGGGTTCAAGTTGACTGCCCACTCCATGCAAAAATGCCAACGCTTGGGCATGAGTTGCAAATAAGATTGTGAACTCAAAATGCTGTCTTCATGAGAATGCAATGATTTTTGAACTGACACTCTGCAAGTGCTATGGACCACAATAACTAAAATGATGTGATTTACTTCCTCGTAAGGGGGCTCAAGCTTATCAATGCAATTTTCATCATCGTCATAATCATCATCAGTCATCACACAAATAAATCCTGGAAGCACAAAATGTGCCAACAAATTCTTTCCCACAGCTTCAATCAGGAAGTCCTATTATTAACCACACTCATCGCTATAATTAATAATTGCCAGGACGGATGCTTTCCCTATTTTTACCCAACAGAAGAAGTTCACATTACAGACAACAAAAATCCAAATAAAAGACATCCTTAAGGAAGAGGGAAACAAGCTCGGTGCACATGGATAAGGCTAAAAAGAATCAGAGAATGCATAGCTTCAATTTCACGGCTAAGAGTGCAATGACGCAGTTGAAGAGAAGTCACCTCTCCATTTTTAGGTGGCAAACCCAGAATGACAGAAGCACTAAAGGGCAGAAATTTCAGGACCTTTAAAAAAGGGGCACTTCACGATTGTCGTGCTTAAAACTGGCGAGCCCAAGAAATTCTTTGTTGCACTAAGATAACTAAGGTATCTACCATTTATCAAGTTATTAGATGCAGCAGAACAAGAATATGACTTCAATCAAAAGGGTGCTCTAGTCATCCCCTGCGAAGCAAGTGAACTTGAAAAAATTTTCAATATAAAAGCGTAAAAGCCACAAATTCACGCTGGTATCTAAAGACATTATTTTGCGGGTTCTACATTGATAATTTGATATGCTCTGTCCTTCATTCATTCAACGTGTAGTAAATAACCAAATTACAGTTATTTTACATTGTTGTCTTGTGAAATATGAATCTAAAGAAACAAGAAATCCCTCCTCTCTAACAATTGCAGATAAGTGGATGCAAATGCTTGTGTATGAATACATGCATCAATCGCATCTGTCTGTCACAGTTTCAATAGCTTGAATCAATTTCCAGAGACTTAATTTAGCTTCTCTCTCTCTCTATCATTTTTTTCCTTTTGTTATAAAGCAAATTTTAGTAATTACTTTCCTATAGCCTAAAATGGAGTGATCGCCTGGAACCTTTGTTTTTTTTAGCATTGAGGGCATAAATAATTTCCCATGAAAAAGTGTTTACTAATAGCATATATTCAGTCAAGTTGTAATGATGATATTGTAAATGGATACAATTTACTACATGTCAGTGAAAGAATACAGTGCTTGAAATGAAACCATAGGCAGAGAATTTTCAGTGCACAATCATATAAAAAGTCAGTGTATCAGTATTCAGTACAACACAGATGGCGGAAAAAATGAATAACCTCATTTCCAAAGAATTACTCAATGCTAGAACTAGTGATTTCAAAACAATTGGCTCCCATACCTCTAAAATATGTTGTGATTCCACAATATCCACGCAAGAGCAATAGTTCGCATGACCCTAAGCCAAAGCATCCACAGCCCAATGAAACGATTGATTACTAAAAAATATTTATGAGATATCAAGAAAGAACAATCTAAACTACACTTTTAAGACTGGTTAAGTTCCATTGGGTATTCCGTAGTTTGTCTAAGAATAAACTCAGCTCTCCTCTTCTTATCATCTCTCTCCTCATCACGTAAAAAAAATGTTGTGCTCCTCTCACCCTTCTTTTGCAAGCTCAAATCTAGCGACTCACCCAAGATTTTCTTGCCACATCTGAACTTGAAATGAACAGCAGGCCTCTTTTCAGGAAGGAGAGTATTTCCACCATCCAATTCATCAGATGGTCCACCTTTCATCGCTTCAATGGCAGGAGCAAATGCCTGTAGCACAGAAACATGATTGCCCTTGCTCACTTCATCAGAAAGCTTAGTTGGCAAAACCACCTGTGAAACATCTTTCTCCCCAGGTTGCAATGGGGCAGCAAGAAAAGGGTTACTTCCAGCTTCTTGTATTTTTTCCCTTTTAGCATCCATGACTGCATCCATGACTGTGGAAGCTGAAGTTCCACTAGAACCATTACACACCAGTCTCTGTTGCAAACTCAGCAGAGCCCTCTCAGCCTTTCTCCGTTGCCTTGCTTGCTCAATCTTATCAGCACAAGGATCTGATGTCCTCTCATTCCACATAGGTGTATGAATATAAGTGTGAGGATCAGGCAAAGCCGGCAACCAAGTTGGGATATGCTTGCCAGGTGGGGTTTCATTCATATGCTCAAAACTTGGAATCAGCTTCCTATCCCTAACCACCGGAAACTTAGGCACTGGCTGAGCAAACGGAATTTCCTCCTTCAAATCCACAAACTGAATTATTTCTCTAAGAGTGCCAGAGCCTACAAGACAGTTTCCAATCTCCGAAGCACCCGAAAACCCATGCGAAGCTCCCAAATCTTCTAAAGCACGAGTTATATCAAACAGATTGCACTCTGACCTACCAGCTAAATTAGCATGAAAACTTGCATTTTTTCCTAAGTCACAGATATATCGAATTGAGATATCAGTAAGAGCCTCCAAAGCAGACTCTTCAAATCCCTGATAACCGACACTCTCGCATATCTGTGCCACAGCAATCTTTGAAACCGCTCTACCAAAGTCATCAGCTTTCAGTCTTCCCAATGACAAACTGCGCTGGCCTTCACTCTTTTTTGTATCTCTCGTACTCTCCACACCTCCATGGCTCATGTTCAAAACCTCATATCAAAATTTACAGTTTTTCCCACAAAATTCTCACATTATCTTTCATCCCATTAATCTCCTACGAATTACTCATAAAAACAATACCCGCTACCCTCTGTCTTGTTAATTGGAAATTCTCGTTTTCAAACAAGAAAAACCCAAGAGCTAGACAAACCCAATTTTTTGCTTTTTTCTATATTTTCTCAGGAAACAAATAAAAAGAAAAAAATTACAGCCCATTCCAAGAAACCCTAGAAATGGTCTAAGCTTCTACTTCTACAACAAAAAAAGAATCAAAATTGAGGATAAAGAACAGAATTTGAAGCCTTACCAGCCATCCAAGAGGTTCAAATCCAATAAGACAAAGAACAACTTCAGCCGAAACCAAGAAACAGAGCCAGATTTCAAAGCGAACCCAACCCGAAACAAAACCCTAACAAAGAAGTTAACTTTCCTTGAGGTTTTAACAGTTTCCAAAAAAAGGGTCAAGGGAAATGGAGGCAAAATGAGGGAAATTGAGGAAATTGAGGAAAAAAAACCGTTCTAAGACCCTTAAAAAGAAGCGGATCAAGTAAGATCCAGATTCCCAAGAGGCAAGAGAGAGGGTTCGATGCAGTGAAAGTTTTTTGGGTTTATTTATAGACCTTTAGTAAACGAATTTAACCAATAAAAATTAAAACCTCTATACCACTCTCTCGAGTACTGTTTACTTACTACTCGCTTTCTATGGGCCTATCAGGCCCGCCCAAATTTTTTTTTTTTTTTTTAAATAAAGATAATAGCTTGGCTTGTAGTTGTAAGGAAGCTGAAGAAGGGGAGAAGCTTTAAGTACTTTGGGAATGCATATAGAGGGGACCCGGGAGTGCCGCATGCGGACCCGGATCGGTTCCTGAACATATGGATAGGATCGGCTGCTCCCTCCGCTATCACTTGGTTCAACCCTTACATATGGCAGCTCTCTAGGCAATTCAAGTAATTTTGAACCCTTTTCTCTCTTTAAATTCTTTTGTTTCAGATGGATTTTTAATTTTGATTTTTATGTTTATTGACAGTTTCATCTCCAAGCTTTGATTTTTATGTTTAATTTCCCCAACTGGTTTATTCAGGGTTTATGTGATTTTGGTTGTAATTGAAGTTGATAAAAGAGGGTTGAAATTCATTAGCAGTAGGAATTTAGGATTTATTATTGTTCTCTTTTTTTAATTTCAATGTTGTACAGTTGAGATTTTGAGTTTACATATGGACAGTACAAGGCAGATAATTCATTGTTTTTATCTTATGTTCTGGTTTGAATGGGATGGGAATGCTGGAGTGGGGTTTGATAGTATCATTTCTTCCCTTTTTAAGTCTCAAGTTCCCAGTTTTTTAGCACATATCAAATGAGCAATTTCCAGTTGTGGAGGATCTCTATTGCTCTGCTGGTGGCATCTTTTAGCAAGTTGGCTTTTTGCAAATTTCTCCTTTTGGAATTTATAGCCATTTTCTGACCACATTGAGTTAGACAATTTTGGTTTATTGAGGATTTTCTCGAAAATTACATTCCAGAATACTGGAATTAGTCCCCCCTCCTTAGTTTCTCATACTTCTCATTAATATGAATGGAATTTTGCTTCAACAACTTTGGTCCACTTCAGGACAGGTGCAAGGCAGCGAGGCACATTTAATTTGTTTGTGATGTTGTAGCTATACCAGAATCATTTCATCAAAAATATTTATATGTATGCAAAAATGTTCCAGTGTTTGTTAAGAACTTGCTTATATTCTTGTTAGTCTTGACCAACATGAATAATTTATGTTTTAATCTATCTATAGAAATCTATTGGTCTCTTAATCGTCATATTTATGTGACTGAAATGCATGCATGCTTGGCATACAGAAAAGTTAAAAGATATCCGTCTAAGCCCCTTCAGCTATGTGTTTTGCTACTTATTTTAGGCATAGGTTCCAGATACTGAATTCTACTAATCCAGCCTCCATTTATACGATCCTCTTCACCTTCAAAATTTACAGGACCATATTTTTCTTTATATTTAATAATTTGGAATATGTCGATTTGCAGTTGGCATGACAAAAGCAATGATATTTGAACACTATCGTTGGAAGAAAGCAGAGGCAAAGAAGCAACCATAGTTTTCGACCATACAAATTTAAGGTTTGTTGTTTGATATCATTGACGGACAAACTCTATTAAAAAGTATTATGCAAAGTACTTTTAGATACAAAGTGGACATAAAATGTTATCAACAAACCTTCACTTTTTCGTCTTTTCAGTGGAATGAGTACATGGACAAGGATCAAAGGGACTCGTATTATTTCAACTGGTCTGTCTACTTAGTTTTTCTTTTGTGTGGGCATGCTCTTTGATAAGTAGTTTGGACAAAGAGGATTGTACCTGATGAAAAGTTTGTGTCTCTTTATTGCTTCATCCCTTCTTCCCAACCCGTAATGCTCTTGTAACTCCTCCCTCTGACCCTCTCTTATTTGGTGGATCTGAAGTCCTTAAAGTAATAGCAGGATCAAGATTAACCAGTGCCTTCCCTGGTTAAACTTTTTTGGTTCTAACATATCAGATTGAGCTAGTTAATGGGTTTTTTGCAGTTGGCTCAATATCATTTAGATGTCACTCCCTGTTTTTGGCCTCCAACTAGTAGCTACCTTCGATTTAAATGGGTTGATGTTGAATTCAGAAAAGAGTCGAGTCTTAAACTCTTTATTGATCTTAATTTTGATAAATATTTCTGCCTTGAATGTGGCAACAAGCCTTCTGAAAGTTGTCAACACACTGAAAAAGTTCCATTATTAGCTCAACTGAGAAACCACAATATTTCCTCTATTTCGACCAAGGCTTTATGTTCTTATTGGTTTTAATGTTGTTAAGCCTTAGGTCTACCATTCCTTCTAAGCAGGTTGGTTATGTTCACCCATTAATGCAGTTTCTCCTGACTCCAAGGTTGTTGGCCTGGAACTTGATTTTTGGATCTCTGGCCTCGTGTTCTTGAGAAAGGGAACGGTATAAACATTTACTTTTTGACGGCCAAGAGAAACTATAAGTGAACGAAATAAATGCTAGTAAATCATAAGTGTGATTCACAAATTATATCACTTTTGGTTGGAAAATGTTTTGCCAGCAATGGCATATTCTTTTTTCTTTCTTTTTTTTTTTTTTTTGCTACATTGGAAATTTAAAAAACAACCAACGACTAAACAGTCAAGATAAGACAGCACGTGGGATGTGGTTCTAAGAGTAATCATCAGTCGTGAATCAAATCGCTCATTGATATATAAATGTTTAAATCACTTTAATTTTATGGGAAAAAATCGTGAGTTTTAATAAATTAAAATAGATAATAATTTATAAGTTAATGTGGATCAAAATATTTGATATAAAATTGATTTTAAAGATATTAGCCATGTGTCATTAAAAACGAAATTTTAATTAAAATAAAAAAAACGTCATAATTTTTAGAAAAAATCATGAATATTATTTCAATCATATATTAAAATTGATAATAAAATATAGTTTTCACATTACTTTTAATTTATTCTTTTGTTTTATAAAATTACGAGACTCCAAATCCAAATGAACAATATTTTATAAATTGACGTGATAATTAGAACCAGCGTGTGAGCACCCATCCTGTCAGCTAACAGGGAAGGGATTAAACATGGAGGGGGTGCACAAATATGCGAAATCCTCTATTCAGTGAGTAACTTGGCAGCCTTTTTTTTTTGGGTCTCAGAATGTGTTGATTGACCATGTCCACCTACTTCTCAATATTTCTTTGACTGCACGGTGAGTGGATGTAATAATGGCATAAGTTTTTTACCTCAAGTAATCTAAACTAGTAGTAGGATAAGGTGAAATTATTATATTGTTTGGGGTGAGGGGTGAATATGATGGACTCATTAATGTGAAACAAGAATTTGGTTAATCTTGATCCTTTCTTGCTTAAAAATAATGTTATCAGCATTCCATAATTCATTGATTAATTCAGATCCAAAAGTAAAATGAAGATTACAGAAGCAAACAAAAAAGTGTAGACTCCCATTGACAGTCGTTTCTTTTTTATACGCCTGACACGTACTTGACCAATTGGAGAATCCCTTTGCCAAAAATAAGGAAACTAGAAAGGTTGTTAATCCTATCCTGAAAGGAGTTTCCCTTGACTCAGTTGTAAGGACCCAGAAAACGAAAAAGGCCATGGTGTTTCTGCAATTTCCACCTCCATCGTTCAGAGCCACCTCACTTCCTACTTTTACAGTGCCCATCACAGCATCTTCTCGTGTCTCTCTGCCAGCCTGTATTACCTTAAACTCAACCAGTTTGAGAAACTGGGCCCTTGATTTTAGACCCAAATCCTTAAATTGGGTCTTCTCTGGTGCTCTTGCTCTTAGTTTATCTCTAACAGGCAAGTCAAATTAACCTCCAATGAATGGTGTTTTGACTGTGTTCATCTTTATATACTTTGTTAACTATAGAATTTGTTATATGTTTATATCATGCAAATTTCATCAATGCTGTTTCTTCTTCTTCTTTTTTTGGTTTTTTTTTTATTTTATTCATGCAAAATGGAGGTTCTGAACCAAACATTATAGGGGTTGGGTTCGCGGAGGCGAAAGTTGGGGTTAACAAGCCAGAATTACTTCCTATAGAGTTCACTCCTGTGATTGATGTAGCAGGCTTCCTCTCTGACGGCCAGGTTTGGTTTTTTTTTTTTTTTCAATATTTATACTATTTCCTGTGATAAAATCAGCATTACTTGATGATCTTGTTCTTGTAACTTGCTTGTCTTGCAAATTGAACAACTTTAGTTTGATTAATATTTCCATGAGATGTTTAAGAGTAGGTTGTATTGATTGATTAGATTACATATGTGTACAAGACTCATCAAATTGGATCCATTTGTTTCTGTGCTTTCGACCTTCATTAATCCTATCTGGTTCTAATTTTCATGTTCTTAAGTTTCCTAAGGTACTCAAAATGGGGGACAAGTGCATTTTGAGTATGTATGCAGTCCACATTTCTCCATATGCGTACTGAGGATGGAACCATGGAGTTATAAACAGAACTAGACAATTAGTATATTCAAGAAACATTGAGATGAAACATTTCTTTTTAATTTTAACCCATGAATAAGCTAAAATTTTGGATTTAGCAACTTGTTCCCTTCATTTTCTGAGAAACAAGCCCTTGCTGCAGAGGTGCTTTCTAAATGCAGCCTTAATCTAGGCCAGCTAAAACCATCATACTTGAATTAACCTGAACTTTCCTTTCAACGAGTGATCAATAAACTGTTTTATGGTTATGTTTGGTATATAGAATGATAATCATCCTATATTATATTTGATTTGTATCTAAAGAAAATGATAGGATTATAAAGAGGATTAATCATCCTCTTGGTATAGGATGATTCAATCCTTTCACAATGGAGAGGATTATTTTTAATCTATGGGATTGAACTTACATATCCTATTATACCCTTAAAAATTACATCAATAATTTAAATTGTATAAACTTTAAGAAAGGATAATTTTGACCAATAAATAAATTATCCTATCTTAATTATTGCACACTTCAAAACTAAGATAGGATTATATTATTTAATCTAATCCTATTCATAATATCATCTTATCCTATCCTATTATAATCTTATATACCAAACATATCCAATGAGTGTTATACATATAGCATGATTAATAGATAACTAATGCTGCCTTTTACAAACAAAAGACTATTAGTAATACTGGATTGTTATATCCCAGGAGAAAAGAATTGCACAGGAGATAAGTGATATTGAAAAGGATACTGGCTTTAAGTTGAGAGTTCTAGCACAAAATTACCCTGACACACCAGGTATGAGTAATATATTCTATGTCATTGATCTCGCTCTTTTTTTTAATTATATTCTCTCTAAACCTATGTTTGTTCTATTTTATTTAATTCTTGAAGCTGTTACCGAAGTCCAAAATTACTTAACTTCTCAAATTGCTACAGGGTTGGCAATCAAAGACTTTTGGCAGGTGGATGATAGAACTATTGTTTTTGTTGCTGATCCAACCTTTGGTAAAGGATTTGTCTATGGCATTGTCTTTAAACTCCATACGATATGAACATTTTCTAATTATGGATTTCTGACCAGGAAATATATTAAATTTCAATGTTGGGGCTTCTGTTGACTTAGACATCCCAAGAAGCTTTTGGAGCCGTTTGGCAGGGAAATATGGAAATATGTTTTATTGGAAAGAGAGGGTAAAGTTTACTTCTTCCATGCATAAATCACAGGCTCCTTATGAAATGTTCAGTTTATGCATGATTTCGTTTTTCTGCAAAGTAATTCAAGTTATTTTTGCTGAAACAGGGGGAAGATGCATCGATTGAAGCTGCTGTCATGGCAATATCCAATTGCTTAAGAGAACCTGTGGGGCCAAATAATTGCTCCGAGGTAAAATAACACTTCATCGGGTACTAAAAGCAAGATTTCTTCCAATTATTGTTTACTTAAATATCTTATGTAATTCTTTTTCATCCCCTTTGATGTATAGATCATGTGCAATTCTGACAAGAGTTGTATAGGTAGGAAGGTACATTATGTACTATTAGTAACCAAATGGTAGAGGCATAAGATTTTACTTGTTCTCCAGATGATAATCAATACCTATTGTTTCCACAGAATCATGTAATGTTTGTGTTTGTGAATTGAAGAAGATATTTAATGTGGACAGCTAAACTTGAAACTTCTGTATGTAGTTTAAGGTTTATCAATGTAACAGGTTAGTTGCAGTTAAAGATTTGCTGCAACTAAGCTAGAAGAAAAGAAGATGCTTAACATTGCAGTTGAATAAGCTAGCTTCATATGGTTTCAAGGACCAGCATATACCATCTGAGTATAAGAAAAAGGCTTTCCAGCACAGCAGGCCGTAAGAGGACAGTGCTTTCAGGCTGAATAAGAAAGGGTTTGCTCATAAGTTAAATCAAGACTCAACCCAAATTAATGGGGATAGGATAGTGCTTAAAAATTTCTTCCAGTATGCGAGCATAATTAAAAAAATGGTTTTTTTTTCCGCTGAAGTTGTAAGAGTAGTGTTTTCTACAAGTATTCAGGACAAAGCAAAAATGATTTCATGGCTGTTACTTAAGATGAACCACTAAAACTTTTTTTTTTTTTCTCTTTCGAACATTTTATTAGTGATCATCATGAAAGCAATAGGAAAGAACAATCAGACTAATCAGCCTGTCAGAAAATGATATAACCGACCAAGAAGCTACCTGGAATATGCTAGTAATATTTAACTTATATTACACATAATCAGTAGCATTTTTCTTTATTCTGTCTTCTAGGATCGTCTGTAACTCTTCAGGTTGACAGGGGACTGTTAGAGCTCCTGTTTGTTGGAATCCATATTCTTCTTTTGCTTGCTCTAGTATCCTCAAAAACGCTGGATTCTTCAGATAGCTCAGCTCCAAGATAAACCTCTTTGGTTTTCCATCTTCGACTGCAATTACTGCAAAATGCCCTTCCTTTACATCCTTCGGTAACTTCTCTGTTTCTTCAACATCTTCATCAAACTCAACAACATTCTGATCAGGGCCTCTTGATGGTAATTCCGAGAGAACTCTCTTTAGCTTTTTCACCAAAAGCCTAAGCATGACAAGCCCTCTATGACGTTCCCAGATCTGCATTTTCACAGATATCTCAAAATGTGATCAAGATTCAAGAGCTCTTCGAGACTGAAATTCTTTGTGTTTCGTTCTCTGACTGATCTGCGGATCCTGAGATAGACATTTATACTGGGATGTTAGAGAAACAGGAAGCAAATATGCAATTTCTAAGAGACATTATGGGACCATTTTCATATGGCTGGAGCTAAGTATCATTTAATGCAATCTTTGGTATTCCATTTTCCATGCTTCCTCGTAAACGGTGTACCCTTTGGAAACGCGGTATACGGTGCCATAGTTGTTTAGTTTCTTATCCAACAGATATGCAATTCTTTGATGTTTGACACAGTTGTCTTAGCATCTCAGTGAGTTGTGTTTACCATGCAGTACATGTTTCAAGTTGAATCCCGCCATCTCGCAGTGAAAAAAAAAAGAAGGAAAATATCAGTCATTTGTTTGTGCTTTGTGGAGTTGCCAAAATACTACGAAGGAGAAAAATTCACTGTCAGGCAGTTGTACATACCAAAGAGGTAAGTTGCAAAGAATGTCAGTTCTAAACCCGAAGGAAATTTGAGTGTTTCCTTTTAGGTTTTGTCAAGAAAAAGAATAGAATGCCACCTTTGCATAGATCATGCTTTAAACTCTTTGCTAAACGCAGCCAAGCCGTTGAATATGCTTATAGAGACAGGATTCGGAGATGGTATCTATGACTATGACTGACCAAGCTACAGTAGTTGGATTGCCGGTGGTTCATGGTGTCGGCATAATAGCATTAAATGTACTCGTATTTGCCCTAGTCGTTCTAAGTTTGTGGAAAGCAGTAGTATAGACCTACCGCTCGGCTCCATTGACTCTACTGTAACTTTCCAGGGGAAAGGTATTATGGTGAATGACTCTGACACACTTAGTAAGGATAAGTCAAAGAAAGTTATGAAGATGAGTAAGCAAGCAGTATCCTTTCATATTTAGAACAGCATATTAAAAGATAAAATTTTTTCAGAAGAAACCGTCTCTTTTTTGAGTAACGGAATTTTTACTGCACTTTCTAAATATAAAGGGCATTGTGGAAGACATGAAAGCAGAAGTTACCCACATTTGAGGGTGATTTGAATTATTTGAACAGTAATTCAATATCTTTGTGACTGACCAATTGTTGATTTTAAATATACCTATAGAAAAAAAAAATCTGTGTTGTCTTAACAGTTTTTCTAAGTTTGTTTGATGGATGGAAAACAAACAACTATAGCTCCTGGGACCATATAAAGTTTGATCTGGTTTGTGGCCACACCCTTGCTTTCGAAATGACAGTTGTGTATAAATTACTGCCTTATCTACATGATATACAAGATTTTAGCGTGTCAGAGTCAGAAAGCTTGATTTAAAATATAGTAAGTCACATGCTAACATGAACAGTTAAAACTACTACACCATTTACCTTCCATGGAGGATTTAGCCAAATGATTCTGAAACATCGATCATTCTGGAGATACCTATGGCCTACGGCCCTATATAATGTATTCCAGTTCACTTTCATTCAGACCAAGGACAATGAGAATGAATTTAACCAGGAAAATCTCCAATATTACTGGTGAAGAAATTAATCTTGTGAAATACTTCAAAAGAAAATCTCCAATGTTTTTTTTCTTTTTTTTTTTTATGAACATGGCAACTTAACCAGCCCAATATTTAACAACCAAAGAACTTGGGGCTAAGTTAGTTTGGAGCGTAGAACAAGATTTTCGTGAAGGCCTAAAAAGACTCTTTAAATCTGATTCTTATGGGCCTAAGAAAGAGATTTTTATGAACCCAATTTGGAATGCGGCTGCCGGCTGCTGTGGGCTGCAATAGTTTTCAACTTTTCATATGTCAAAGCTTTTTATCGCTTTGTTTCTCTCTTTCCTTCTTTTGGGGCTAAAGTTAGTAAATGGGGCAAAGCTTATCCATAATCTTGCGAAAGTCAAAACTGAAATCAAACAAATGCTCGTCTTTCCTCCTTCTAGAAATTGTAAATTCAAAGCTTTGATCGAATTTTCAAATGTGCTTTTATGTCAAGAGTTGAAAATTGGCCGAAAGGCTAGACTAGAGAGAAATTGAATTGGACTGCACGTGGGTTGTGAATAGAAACAAATACTACAATTTTTAAAAAAAAATTTAACCAATGAACTTAATAATTCAATGATATTAAAATCAATTTTAAAATTAAAAATTTTGAGTCCTAATTCTAATTATTGTAATTTAAAAGATAGAAAAAAAATTTTGTCTAGAAACCCACGTTGAAAAAAATAAAAATTTTAAACTTTAATAAAATATAAGTGAGAAAAAAAATGGAATTGAACAAATAATTTTTATTTTTTCTGGGTCTAGTTTGAACAAGAATTCAGAGGAATGACCATGGCCCATAAGCTTTAAATACACGGATTAAATCAGCATTTTGTATTTGGCCAAAAAAAAAAAATCAACATTTTGTAGGAGAAAGTTCTTCAATAGTTCTAGTAATAGACCTATTATCGACCTTGATTTGTACTAAACTAATCTATCATTGATATCATTAATGGGAGCACACATATACATAAATATATTCTTTCATGTTTTATTTTTTTCAATTTAATCCTTATATTTCATATGTGTACAAAATTTATGCAATTATTATGTGTATATAATCTTTTTCTAATGTATTGATTAACATAGATCATCAATGAAGTAAGCTTATTCTTTTCTTTCTAATAAAGCAAATGTCATAAAATCCAACATTGCATTGCCACTCTTACTTCTTTTTTATACAATATTATTTTTTTAATTTATAAGTTATACAATCTAACATTATATTTGATAGGTTAAATAAAAAAAAGGAAAGAACATAGATAAAATGAAATGAGATATGAGAAAGACAAATATTCAATCAAAAATAGATTATATATTTATTTAAAATTTGAGAAAATGAAAAAAAAAAAAATTTTTTGAAAAATAAAGAAATAAAAAACAAAAATTAATTTAAAAGAAGAAAAAAAAAAAACTTGATGCCCTTGGCTGTCAATTAATTGTGGAATTTGATATCGAAGAAAATTTGAGAAAAAGAAAACTAGAACATGGGAAGGAGGAAAGCATGGTCGAAATAAGGAAAAAAGGGCACACGTTTTAGCGTGCAATTTCAAAGTCCAATAAGGCGCCAGTGCACCTGACGTGGATTGAGACCCAATGTCCCCCTTGTGTCTGGTGGCTAACAATTAACAATACATATTTTTTCGTTACACCATCCCCTCCATCAGAGTCAAAGCCATGATTATATACATGTATATGCATCATTCTGTAATATTGAAATATTCTCTCCCCACATCTGATACCCCAAATCCAAACCCTTTTCAAAACCCCATCCGTCATCGATGCCATGTGTGTATGTATGTGAAAATGCATGGATGAGGGGTATCATCATCGTCATCATCATTCTAGCCCTATAAAAAGTGAAGGAGGGTGCAACTTTGCTTTCTTGAAGGTCATAGTCGGGGCTGAGTCAGAAAATTAGGACCTTATGCATGACTCATCTTCACGCTGTCTTTATTTGTCTTTAATGTTATGATGTTGACTGGTTAATCCAACTTTATTAATTTGTTTCTTTTTTATTTTAGAAATTCATTATTTGGCCGCCCATCAAAATCTTATTAAAATTTATTATATTTTAATGATCAAGTTAGCAATATTTTATCTATTATATTATCAAATACTTATCACTTCAATTAATTACATCATCATCCCTAAAATATAAAAAAAATTTAAACCATGAATGTAGGATATTCTCTACTCTAAATCTTCTCCACTTTTTCTCTTTCTTTGCTTTGCATTTTCTCGATCCTTAAAATCTATTTAAATAAACGATTGAAGTTGATTTTGATGAAATTAAAAATAATTTTTAAAATAAAATTAATTATTATAATAATAAAATATATATTTAGATATAAAAGTAATTATAGTAATGAGGTGAATTATAGTGAGAATTAAAAATGATTATAAAGGGTATTAAAATAAAAATTATATGTAATAAAAATTTACATTATTTAACATTTATAAAATTAATAAATAATTAAAAATTTTATTTTTATATCAAATAATAATTTTATGGATAAATAATTAAAAATAATAATATATCAAAGAATGAAAAAAGAAAAATTATTAAAAAATATATTTTAATAATTATAATATTATGTAAAAGGTAAAAATGAAATTAAAAAAAAAAAAGTGGCTAGTTGGCCACTGGACCAAACTCCACGATCACTAGATCAACAATTATATAACAAAATTCTACAATTTTACCTACAAATTAAAATCTTGTACTAAGCTTGTGAAACATGATTCTAGTCACCCACTTCACATAATTTAAGTTCAAACCCCACAATTAGATATAAATATCATTAGCTAATTTGCTATTTATTATTTATTATCCATTTTGTATTTGGTTTTATATTAGAAAAAGAATGTAACAAATATCATTGAGTTGATCCTTAGGGAATCTTGAAATGCACCATTTGCATGCCCTCTCCCCAAGCAAATTAAGGAAACAACTTTAAATCAACCGCATATTTTTATGCATGAAACCCTTTGACTTCCAATGTTAATTTGCTAGTTTAATCACAAGAGAGTGATTAGTTTAGAACTCAACTGATTTTCTTTATACCAACAAATCTTTGAGGAAACTGTCATAATTCCATTTATGTTCAATTAAATTGATCACACCTGACATGGGATAATTGCACCAAGATTTGATCACATCTTCTTTTTCTGTTGAATTTAAGTACTAATTAACTATGAAATGATTTAAAAATTTTTTTCTAATGAGATTAAATTGATGATTATTTTATTTTATCATAAAGTTTTGATTATTTCTTTGTTATAATATGAAATGAGACGGTGACCTGTTACTCGAGTGTGGCAAAATCTTTCTCTGTCGATGTATTCCTATGAATAAAAAAAATACTGCTTTACTGTAAGTCTACCTCATATGATGTGCTGATAAAACTAGATTAACTGTTTGTTATTAATTTATCATTTAATAAATTTAGGTTCAAATTTTAAAATTTTATCTAATTTTTTATTCTCATATTATGACTTTTTCTTTATAAAAAAATTATCATTAACATAAAACTAATTAAATACTCAAAATCATTTCTTATTTATTTATTTATTTTACATATATATATATTTATATGTATTTATATAAATGGGGTTAATATGCATCCATCTGCTTCAATTGATGTTTTAGAAGCTTCCTATAATTAACTTATTTTTAAATTTTTTTTTTTATTATTAAAAAGATAAAGTCTTAATACAAATAAAAAAAATAAATAGATTTAATTCGAAACCAGGTCATTGACATTTCCTCAAACATCTTTAATCACTAAACTAAATATTTGGAGACTATTTTTAAAAAGTTGTTGCGCAGCTATTTGTGGCTTGGAATGTTAAATTAGAATACAAGTTAAATGTAATTAATTAAGATAATTTTTTCCAACATCCATACATAATTTTTTCTAACATCCATACAAAAGTAAGCACACCAAAGAAGATTGTGGTAGTTTAATTTGTGGTTGGATTAGTCGAATAGCACTTGATTAGCATAAATAATTGCATCTGAAAATGACAATTTGGCGGAATCTCGATGCTGTTCCAAAATTTTTAATCTTGAATATTTTAGAGTGAGCAGTTCGAAGTTACTGCTTTTTTTCTGTTGAGAAGCTAGCAGTAAAATAAATTTAACTACCGCCTTATTTAATTGTACAAACACATAAGTTAATTATGAGTAAATCTGACGCATTTACAAAGGTTTATATATAATTTTCAACCTTAATTAGGTTGTCGAGATTGAACTTACTAAAATTTTGAAATTTAGGTGCATATCGTATGTGTGAGAGGATTAAATTTTTTAAATAAAATCGCAGTTAAAGAATTAAAAAAGTAATTTAAAATTTAAAATTTAAATTTATTAGATATTATTTTTTAAAAATAATTTTTTAAGCAAACTAAACTAATCCTTAAATTCATGTGTGATTAGACTTTATATATATAATTTTATATAAAATAATTTTATTAATTAGGAGACGAATATTATTAGAATATCCTGTCAATAGCTTAGAGAAGTTGACATGCAAGCTGTAAAACAAGCCATGACATGCACAACCCAATGTCCAATCGAGGTTTGTATGTATATCTATATATAGTGGATCGTATATCATTATCCATTAAGGACTTTAATGGAGTCTAGCTATAGAAACCATAATAATTGAAAATGAAAAAGGCTACAAAATTATTAAAGTTTATAAACCTGATCATCGCTACTGCCCATATATATTGTGACAAATAAATAAAGCTTTAATATATTATCATAATTTCCTTTTGATCATCTGCCATCATAGGCTTTGTTTTAATCTAATACGCACGAGATGGAACTAGGCCAAATGTTTATATGATCATAGCTGGTTGCTGACCTGCTTAATCTGTCACTCAACAACATTTCTGTTATGTTTTATTGTTTTTTTTTTCTTCATTGATATAGAAAATTAATGTATAAATAAGACCAATACAAAATTTAATTTAGTAGTAAAAATTTGAATTGAAATCAATAACGTAAAACTTTAATCATGCATTTGGTTTGATTTTCATAAACAAATATATATATATATATATCAATTAATGCATGATCAAAACTTGATTGATATTAAAGGGGCT